TCAGCCCCTTGTACCTTTGCTGCACACAAGGCGGTTAACAATACCCGATAAAGTCCTTTCCATTTCAGCTGTAAAGAATCTCTAAGTTGATGTGTCCTCCAATATATTAGATCTCCAGGCTTAAGGTTGTGAGTATTTTGTCTCTCAGGAGCACTCTTTAAAATGAATCTTGAACAAATTTGGCCTTCCATATATATTCTGTACTGAAGAATTTCTCCTTATAACAAAGTAGAGGGCAAGGGATCCTCAACTATGTTCATAGGGCACTCGGCGATGATTTTGAATGGAGACAAGTGAGCCCTTCCATTAGGGTAGATCTTAGATTTAAAAGGACAAGGGGCAAAGCTGTGGGCTGCGGTAGACCAAAGGCAGAGGTTGGTTTGACCGACTGAGTTTTGATTATGCCATTAGAGTGTTCAACTAATCCTCTGAATATCGAGGATGGTAGGTGCAATGAAAATGTTGAGAGATGGCCAGATTTTGCAGACCTCTCAGACAGTATGACCAGAAAAAAATGTGTTCCTCAATCACCGTGTAGCTGTCAAGGAATACCCCAATCGGGAATGGTTTTTTTCTAATAGGTTTCTGGCCACTGCTTTTGCTGTTGCTTGAGTGCAAGGAAATGCCTTGGTCTGGTGAGAAACACACAGATCATTACCATTGAGGAAGCTGGATGAAATCAATTTGCCAGATGTCAAAAGGCCCACTGGGAAGAGGAACTTGACCTAATGCAGTGTGATATGGTTTCCCAAGATTGTGCAAGGGGCTAAATTGTACATTTTGAAATATTTGTTGGGCAATAGTTGGAGATGGCTTCCAACAGTATTGTGCCCACAGGACCACTTTATTTGTGCCCCATATGTCATACAGATGGACATTTGTGAATCAGAAGTTAAGTGTCACATCTTTGGTGGCTGGGTCAGCATAATGATTGACCTTGGCTTCAGGGGTATCTTGTTTGAAACGGGCTTGAACTTTTAATAGATAAGCTGGAGAGAACTTTTAATAGATAAGCTGGAGGGAAGGAGAATGGTGTCAAGTAGTTTTAATATGTAAGTTTTAAAAAACATTTTTATTTTATTTTTAAGCTTTATTTAATTTGAGAGAGAGAGGAGAGCACACACAAGCAAATGAGGGAGGAGCAGAGAGGAGAGAGAGAATCCCAAAATCTGTATTTGGGAATTTCATGAAGGTCTAATCAAGGGGTAAGTAATGAGTCAGTTACAAGGATGCCGTCACAGGATGTGTTGAGTTTTGGAGGGGTAAGGGACATAAGGTAGAAGGACCGAGAGGGGGACAATGAGAGACTAAAACGTTCGGAGAGCAAAGAAACCAGAGTTCCAATTTTCTAAGTCAACTGGCAGACAGGTGTGTGTGGTAGGAGTCTAACAGAGTTCTAACTGTATGTAGGCCTAATACCTATGGGGGAGAATCTAGTGTTCATTTTTTGGTGGCAGTAATGAGTATAGAGTATACTCATATAATGAGTATACAGGTGGGTTGTCAGGGCACGGAGGCAGGGAGGTGAACCTTTGGCCACAGGGTCTAATTGAAGACTGCCATACCCTTGGGGGCATTGTAGGCCTCCATGCCTTTGGGAAAGGATGTTCAAATGGACAAAAACAAAGAAAGGCAGTTGGTAATTAGGGTGTCCTGGAGCTGCAGAAGAGGTGAGGTTTTTTTGTTTGGTTGGTTTTAAATTTATTTATTTATTTTTGAGAGAGAGAGAGAGAGAGAGAGGGGCAGAGAGAGAAGGAGAGGCAGAGAGAATCCCAAGCAGGCTCTGCACTGACAGTGCAGAGCCAATGTGGGACTTGAACCCACGAACAGTGAGATCATGACCTGAGCCAAAGTCAGACGCTTAACCGACTGAGCCACCTAGGCACCCCTGTTTTTTAAAGATATAAAGGCAGGCACCTCGCCGACTCAATTGGAAGAGCATGCAACTCTTTTTTTTTCTTTTTTCTTTTTTTAATATTTATTTATTTTGAGAGAGAGACAGAGTACGAGCAGGGGAGGGGCAGAGAGAGAGGAAACACAGAATCCAAAGCAGGCTCGAGGCTCGGAGCTGTCAGCAGAGCCCGATGCAGGGCTTAACTCACAGACTGCGAGATCATGACCTGAGCCACCCAGGTGCCCCAAGAGCATGCAATTCTTGATCTCAAATAGAGTTTGAGCCCCACGTTGGGTATAGAGATTATTTAAATAAACAAATAAACTTAAAAAAAATAACAAAGGAGCTTCTTAAGACCATGGGATCAGGTTTGGAGTGGTAGTAGTATGGAAGGCTTAGTATAAGGGTTGAGCTATGAGGAAATATTTGGGAATCCAAGGGCGACAGTATCTAGCAAGACCCAGGAAACCGTGTAATTGTCTTTTAGTCTTGGGGTTGAGGGAACTGGGTGAAGGTAGTAATTCTGTCTGGTTCTATTTTTAGCCCATCTGGCCGAAAGGTGGCCTAGGAATTTGACTGAGGCAGAACAGAATTGTCATTTATCTTTAGATACTTTGTGTCCTTTGTTGGCTAATTGCTTCAGAAGGCATTTAGTGTCAGTGCCACAGGTCTTTAGGGTAGGAGAACATAATAATAAATCATCTATATATTGCAAAGTGTAGACATCCCAGGGAAATCAAGATCTTGTAGGTCAGCATGGAAGGTTTGAGAGAAACAGGTAGGGCTTTCAGTATATCCCTGGGGTAGGATTCTCCAAATGTGTTGTTGATTGTTCCACGTAAAAGTAGAAAGATACTGACTTTGGGGGTCGACAGGGATGCTGAAAAAGGCACTGCATAAGGGAACAACAGAAAAAGCAGTAGTTGCAGCTGGTATATTAGAAAGGAGGGTGTGGGAGTCAGCAGCAACAGAGTGACAGGGTATGACCGTACTGGTAATTGCCCTAAGGTCTTGAACAAGATACCTTCCTCTATTACAGAGCTCTTTAACTGGAAAAATGGGGGTAATACAAGGACTAGTAATGGGGATGATCAATCCTTTGTTGATAACAGGAGTTATTCTTATAATGACCATAAGTACTGCTTAATATTGGGTGAGGCCTTTATTTAAAAAAAAAAGATTTTTTTAACGTTTATTTAGTTTTGAGACAGAGAGAGATAGAGCATGAACGGGAGAGGGTCAGAGAGAGAGGGAGACACAGAATCTGAAACAGGCTTCCAGGCTCTGAGCGGTCAGCATAGAGCCCGACGCGGGGCTCGAACCCACGGACTGCGAGATCATGCCCTGAGCCAAAGTCGGACACTTAACCGACTGAGCCACCCAGGCGCCCCTGGGTGAGGCCTTTAATGATCAATTTGAATAGTTATTGGGGAACCAAGGTTATGTGTCATATATCGGTGGAAGAGGTGGCCCACAATTGACCAGGGAGTGCATTTAGGAATAGGGGGCAGTGGACTGACTGGGGGACAGTCCTGAACAGATCAGTAGAATTAGGAATTCTGAAGATTGAGCAAGCAGATCTAATAGCATTTCATTTTTTTGGTCAAAGGAAATATGGGCCCAGTGAGCCTGCAAAAAATTTCTTCCTAAGAAAAGTGTTTGGGAAAGGGGGGTGGTGCACCTCGCTGGTTCAGCCTATAGAGCATGTGACTCTTGATCTCAGGGTCTGGAGTTCAAGCCCCAAGTTGGACATGGAGCCAACTTAAAAAAAAAAAAAAAAGTGCTGGGGATGAGGGCACCCATAAAAAAGAATGGTTGCCTTAAGTGCCAAGAATAAATCTAGGGGTTGAGATAATGGGATAGTTGGTAGCTGAATAAGCACCCTGATCATGGTCAGATGCATTCGTATTCTTGAGGCAGGGGACTGGAAAATAAATTGCGGCTGAGGACTGAATAAGGTGCCCTAGTGTCTATAAGAATAAAACCATCTTCATTCTGAATTGTTATAAGTGTTTGCTAAGAGAAAGGGAAAAATCCCCTTTTGTCCTCAAATCTGATAAAGGAATGGTTTTTGAGATTTTTGTTCTTTTGGAACCATCGTTTATATTTCAAGTATTCCTTTTTGGAAGGTTGGGGATTTATTTATTTATTTTGTACTGCCTTCTAATTTATTTTGAGGTCCCCACATATGGGGAATCATTTTGACTAAATTTGCAACTATATCGGTAGTTTTTTCTAGGGCCTCATTATGAGGAAATTTTAAATCCTGTAGGGGGTCTTCCCTTCCAGCCTTATTTATCCATTCTTGGGCCTATATTGGTCCAACAAGCATGCGTACTAGTTGGTAAAGGTCAGAAGGGCCTGGATTCCAAATTAGTTGTCGGGTAAACTCTTCTGGATTTTCTTTAGGGTTAGGAAAGTCTTGCAAGATTTAGAAGTTCTGTTTAGGACCAGAGGGTCAGAGGGTCAGAGGACCAGATTACTGGGATTAGGGCTAGTGCCTTTGACTTTGAAAGGGGCTATGATGTTAGTTTTGGGAGTGTGGATGGTGGCAAGGCTGGGGAGGGAGAAATTTCAAAGAATAAGAAGGTTGGAAAGACCTGCATACACTGGAGGAAATAGAAGGCGTGCAGTGGTGGGGGAGGGAATTGGATGGAAGAGGCGTGGGTCATTTTTGATTCAGTATTGAGTTGTTCTAATCCTTTCCATCTTTCTTTGGTTATTGAGTTTTTTTTTCCTTTTGCGGAGGCCAGAGCGGAGTCTGTTCTTTTGGAGGCTACTTCCAAACGTACCAATTGAAATAGGTTTCCACTGATTTGGGGAAGTATGATAGTTTCACCTTTCCAATTGTGCTCTTAAATACACCAATTTAGGGATACCAAAGGTGCGCCCAACGGGACCAGGGAGGTTTTAAATGATCTTTAGTGATTTGAGCCCAGGTTGAGGAAACTTACAGCTCCCCGGGCCCCAGATGGCTGGTGAGTAAGAGCTCTTTCTGAGAGATTGGTACCCATTCTGCGTTGGAAGAATCCTTCCCTGAATTGCTAGCAGAAAGGTCTCCTGAATTCTACCAAGGTGGGTGATCGGGGATGTGAGAGGACCATACCTGTCATCCCCCACTCCCAGCCCGGGATTATAGGAGCCGCCGGAAGAGAAGCAACCCCGGGCTGCGGTGCTCGCTTCTGCAGGTCCAGAGATCCGCAGGAGGTGTCTAGGTCGCTTCATATCCCAAACTCGGCTCCAAACTGTTAAGCAAAAACCTCAGGAGCGAGCCTATAAACGAGTGAAAAGGAGTCAAAGCTTTCTTTGGGTTTGCAAACTGGGAAGGGCAGTCCAAGTTAGCTGGTGTGCCCGTCCGCAGAGTTGTTTTTAAAGCTTAAAGCCCCAACGAGGGAGAAATTTCAGTTGGAAATTCAGTTGGTTGCCGAGTAATCGGTTGACCTCTTTTGCCTCATTATTATGAGACGGGGGAACTTCCCGGGTGTTCAAACCTCAGGATGTTTACCATGATTTCAACAGGTGGCGGCTCGTCGGGGAACCCCACAAAATGGTGGCCGTCGCAAGATGGAGTCAGGGTTGTCAACCCTTCCCTGACCCCTTTTCTCCTTTGGTGTGAACCAGCACACGCATCCTTTGAAGACGCTACTACACCACCGGATTTCCAAACTGCGTCTGAGAACTGACACTCTCGCTGCGCGGCCAGATCCCTTCGCTGCGGAGGGCGATTCGGCCACTCCCAGACCACTAACTGCACTTTCGGTACTCTTTCAACTTCACTGTTCCATTTAGCAGTTTCTGTCTTCGTGCAAAAAGTCAGAAAAATGGAAAATTCATTCTCTTCGGGGATGCTGTACCGTCGACGCTCAACGCACGTGGATTCAATTTCTTAAAACAAAAGCAAAAACGGAAAAGAAAAAAAAAAAAAAACCCACCAAAACACTGTCCGTGGCGAATCTGCTTCTCCCAATGTAAAGCTCCGCTCAGGCGGGCAAGAGGGATCTACCGGCGTTTGGAGTCTGGTGCTGGCTTCCGTGGGAAGGGATCCCGAGCCTTTCTGAGGTGAGTGGGAGCGGCTTGGTGGCAGCAGGGCTCACTCCGGCGGGAAGGACGAGAGAATTCGGCCCGGCCAGTGCGCGCGCTCCTGTCAGGGCCGCCATGTTGAAGCCTGGCAAACGGGAAGCCCTTTTAGGGTTGTGTTGCGGGAAGCGAGGGCGGGAGCTGGGGTGGAAGAAGGACCCCTTCTCCCCTTCGCCCACTGAAAAGGCGAGAGGTCGGGGAGGGCCAGCCTCGAGGGCCGGTGGTCAAGGCGGGGGCACTGCGGGGCTACTGCGGTGTAGGCTTCCCCCCCCCCACCCCCCCGACTTCCGCCTTCGCGGCCACCGCGCCACTGCGTGTGCTCGGGAGAGTTCCGTCGGTCCGACTTCAGTTCTGTTTCCTCCCCGGATGCGAAGCGCGGGAATATCCGAACTCGGCGGAGTCAGTAAGGAGAGGCATGCTTTGTTCGGTGGTTTCTTAATTAACTGACCTGTATCGTAATGTATAATTATAAAGCACCTTCACGGACACTGCTGTTTCTGATCTTCACAAAAACCTAGTCGAGTGGCATGTAGCTACATTTTACAGATGATTTAAATTTTTCCCACGATAGGACTGGGTCTTAAACCTGGTCTTCTGTCTCCGGATCCAGCGTTCTTTTTCACTTTCCACACTTCTGTCTTTAACGATTAATTGCCCCTTCCGCCTCCATCCCCCACCACTCATCTCTCACATCTCATCCCCGTTTTATGAAATAATGACATGAATCTAAAAATCCAAACAAACTGTAGGAAACCTCAACATAATGCGGCAAGGGAGGGAATACTCCCAGAAAGACGAATGGGAAGCCGTGAAGCCTGCTGCTCTCTTGGCATTTACTGCTTTAAAATTAATTATTAATTAATTAATTAATTAATTAATTGTTTAGAGAGAGCGTGCACAAACATGGGAGGGGCAGAGAGAGAGGGAGAGAGAGGGTCTGAAGCGGGCTCTGTGCGGACAGCAGAGAGCCCGAAGTGGGGCTCAAACTCACGAAGGGTGAGATCATGACCTGAGCTAAAGTGAGACGCTCAACCGACCGAGCCCCCCAGGCGCCCCCCAAAAGAAAGCCTTTTTGTGTCTTTCGTTCCTCACCGGAGATGGCATTAATAGTAAAACCTAGATCCTGACACTTTTGGGAGGTGAGGGGAGTTAAGTGCTGAGCATAGGGCCTGGCACCTCCTACGTCTTCAAGTTAACAATAATTGTTATTATCGTCCTTGTTGTTTTCCTGCAACCCTGTGATGGAGGGTGGGGAGTGCGGCCCAGAGTGGTAGGGCCAGTAGAGTGGAATTGTTGGAGAATACTAGAGCAGGGAGAGAGTCAACATCGCGCTCTCTCTTCCTTTTTCTTTTTTTTTTTTT